TTTGCTTTGTTATAGCGGAAAAACTGGTTCGATTTAGCGAAAAAACGGGTTTGGTTTTTTTTTTTTTTGGAAATTCGGGATTTCAGTTTTTGACATAAATTGGAATTTTTCTTTTGGTTTTTTTGCTGTAACTTGGCCAAAAATGGTCCTACATCAAAAATTCATACTGTTTTGAACAGATAACAAAATTTGTTATAAATCCATAAAACTTTCCGTACGATATTGGAAAAATAAAATTTTCGCCAATTTTTAATTTTTTTATAAGGGGGTACCCCATGATTTTTTTTCGAAAAATTAAAAATAAATAAATTGTCAAGGTCTAAATGCCAATCGTTAGGAAATTTAATAACGAGTTCAGAAAGGTACGACAATCCATACTTTGAATCAGTATTTGCTTTGTTATAGCGAAAAAACTGGTTCGTTTTAGCGAAAAAACGGGTTTGGTTTTTTTTTTTTGGAAATTCGGGATTTCAGTTTTTGACAAAAATTGGAATTTTTCTTTTGGTTTTTTTGCTGTAACTTGGCCAAAAATGGTCCTACATCAAAAATTCATACTGTTTTGAACAGATAACAAAATTTGTTATAAATCCATAAAACTTTCCGTATGATTTTGGAAAAATAAAATTTTCGCCAATTTTTAATTTTTTTATAAGGGGGTACCCCATGATTTTTTTCGAAAAATTAAAAATAAATAAATTGTCAAGGTCTAAATGCCAATCGTTAGGAAATTTAATAACGAGTTCAGAAAGGTATGACAATCCATACTTTGAATCAGTATTTGCTTTGTTATAGCGAAAAAACTGGTTCGTTTTAGCGAAAAACGGGTTTGTTTTTTTTTTTTGGAAATTCGGGATTTCAGTTTTTGACAAAAATTGGAATTTTTCTTTTGGTTTTTTTGCTGTAACTTGGCCAAAAATGGTCCTACATCAAAAATTCATACTGTTTTGAACAGATAACAAAATTTGTTATAAATCCATAAAACTTTCCGTATGATTTTGGAAAAATAAAATTTTCGCCAATTTTTAATTTTTTTATAAGGGGGTACCCCATGATTTTTTTCGAAAAATTAAAAATAAATAAATTGTCAAGGTCTAAATGCCAATCGTTAGGAAATTTAATAACGAGTTCAGAAAGGTACGACAATCCATACTTTGAATCAGTATTTGCTTTGTTATAGCGAAAAAACTGGTTCGTTTTAGCGAAAAAACGGGTTTGGTTTTTTTTTTGGAAATTCGGGATTTCAGTTTTTGACAAAAATTGGAATTTTTCTTTTGGTTTTTTTGCTGTAACTTGGCCAAAAATGGTCCTACACCAAAAATTCATACTGTTTTGAACAGATAACAAAATTTGCTATAAATCCATAAAACTTTCCGTACGATATTGGAAAAATAAAATTTTCGCCAATTTTTAATTTTTTTATAAGGGGGTACCCCATGATTTTTTTCGAAAAATTAAAAATAAATAAATTGTCAAGGTCTAAATGCCAATCGTTAGGAAATTTAATAACGAGTTCAGAAAGGTACGACAATCCATACTTTGAATCAGTATTTGCTTTGTTATAGCGAAAAAACTGGTTCGTTTTAGCGAAAAAACGGGTTTGGTTTTTTTTTTGGAAATTCGGGATTTCAGTTTTTGACAAAAATTGGAATTTTTCTTTTGGTTTTTTTGCTGTAACTTGGCCAAAAATGGTCCTACACCAAAAATTCATACTGTTTTGAACAGATAACAAAATTTGCTATAAATCCATAAAACTTTCCGTACGATATTGGAAAAATAAAATTTTCGCCAATTTTTAATTTTTTTATAAGGGGGTACCCCATGATTTTTTTCGAAAAATTAAAAATAAATAAATTGTCAAGGTTTAAATGCCAATCGTTAGGAAATTTAATAACGAGTTCGGAAAGGTACGACAATCCATACTTTGAATCAGTATTTGCTTTGTTATAGCGGAAAAACTGGTTCGATTTAGCGAAAAAACGGGTTTGGTTTTTTTTTTGGAAATTCGGGATTTCAGTTTTTGACAAAAATTGGAATTTTTCTTTTGGTTTTTTTGCTGTAACTTGGCCAAAAATGGTCCTACACCAAAAATTCATACTGTTTTGAACAGATAACAAAATTTGCTATAAATCCATAAAACTTTCCGTACGATATTGGAAAAATAAAATTTTCGCCAATTTTTAATTTTTTTATAAGGGGGTACCCCATGATTTTTTTCGAAAAATTAAAAATAAATAAATTGTCAAGGTCTAAATGCCAATCGTTAGGAAATTTAATAACGAGTTCAGAAAGGTACGACAATCCATACTTTGAATCAGTATTTGCTTTGTTATAGCGAAAAAACTGGTTCGATTTAGCGAAAAAACGGGTTTGGTTTTTTTTTTGGAAATTCGGGATTTCAGTTTTTGACAAAAATTGGAATTTTTCTTTTGGTTTTTTTGCTGTAACTTGGCCAAAAATGGTCCTACACCAAAAATTCATACTGTTTTGAACAGATAACAAAATTTGCTATAAATCCATAAAACTTTCCGTACGATATTGGAAAAATAAAATTTTCGCCAATTTTTAATTTTTTTATAAGGGGGTACCCCATGATTTTTTTCGAAAAATTAAAAATAAATAAATTGTCAAGGTTTAAATGCCAATCGTTAGGAAATTTAATAACGAGTTCGGAAAGGTACGACAATCCATACTTTGAATCAGTATTTGCTTTGTTATAGCGGAAAAACTGGTTCGATTTAGCGAAAAAACGGGTTTGGTTTTTTTTTTTTTGGAAATTCGGGATTTCAGTTTTTGACATAAATTGGAATTTTTCTTTTGGTTTTTTTGCTGTAACTTGGCCAAAAATGGTCCTACATCAAAAATTCATACTGTTTTGAACAGATAACAAAATTTGTTATAAATCCATAAAACTTTCCGTATGATTTTGGAAAAATAAAATTTTCGCCAATTTTTAATTTTTTTATAAGGGGGTACCCCATGATTTTTTTCGAAAAATTAAAAATAAATAAATTGTCAAGGTCTAAATGCCAATCGTTAGGAAATTTAATAACGAGTTCAGAAAGGTACGACAATCCATACTTTGAATCAGTATTTGCTTTGTTATAGCGAAAAAACTGGTTCGTTTTAGCGAAAAAACGGGTTTGGTTTTTTTTTTGGAAATTCGGGATTTCAGTTTTTGACAAAAATTGGAATTTTTCTTTTGGTTTTTTTGCTGTAACTTGGCCAAAAATGGTCCTACACCAAAAATTTATACTGTTTTGAACAGATAACAAAATTTGCTATAAATCCATAAAACTTTCCGTATAATTTTGGAAAAATAAAATTTTCGCCAATTTTTAATTTTTTTATAAGGGGGTACCCCATGATTTTTTTCGAAAAATTAAAAATAAATAAATTGTTAAGGTTTAAATGCCAATCGTTAGGAAATTTAATAACGAGTTCGGAAAGGTACGACAATCCATACTTTGAATCAGTATTTGCTTTGTTATAGCGGAAAAACTGGTTCGATTTAGCGAAAAAACGGGTTTGGTTTTTTTTTTTGGAAATTCGGGATTTCAGTTTTTGACAAAAATTGGAATTTTTCTTTTGGTTTTTTTGCTGTAACTTGGCCAAAAATGGTCCTACATCAAAATTCATACTGTTTTGAACAGATAACAAAATTTGTTATAAATCCATAAAACTTTCCGTATGATTTTGGAAAAATAAAATTTTCGCCAATTTTTAATTTTTTTATAAGGGGGTACCCCATGATTTTTTTTCGAAAAATTAAAAATAAATAAATTGTCAAGGTTTAAATGCCAATCGTTAGGAAATTTAATAACGAGTTCAGAAAGGTATGACAATCCATACTTTGAATCAGTATTTGCTTTGTTATAGCGAAAAAACTGGTTCGTTTTAGCGAAAAAACGGGTTTGGTTTTTTTTTTGGAAATTCGGGATTTCAGTTTTTGACAAAAATAGGAATTTTTCTTTTGGTTTTTTTGCTGTAACTTGGCCAAAAATGGTCCTACACCAAAAATTCATACTGTTTTGAACAGATAACAAAATTTGCTATAAATCCATAAAACTTTCCGTACGATTTTGAAAAAATAAAATTTTCGCCAATTTTTAATTTTTTTATAAGGGGGTACCCCATGATTTTTTTCGAAAAATTAAAAATAAATAAAATGTCAAGGTTTAAATTAGGAAATTTAATAACGAGTTCAGAAAGGTATGACAATCTACACTTTGAATCAGTATTTTTTTTGTTTTAGCGAAAAAACTGTTTTGTTTCAGCGAAAAACCTGTTTTGTTTATTTTTCGAAATTTGGGATTACGGTTTTGGCCAAAAATATGAATTATTTCTTGTGTTTTTTTTTCTGTAATTTGGCCAAAAATTTGTTAAAAAATTTTTAAAAATATTTTTCTGAAAGATATTAAGATATCCCACAAAGTTGCAAGACAAATATTAAAATAACTCAAACAAGTCTTAAGTGCTGCGTAACTAAAAAATAAATATTTACAAAAATATTTTTTAAAAATAAACGGTAAGAGTTAAAGAAAAAATAAATAAAAACCGATCCTTATATTTCAATCCTCTATCGAAAAAAAAGTTTCAATTGATTCATACCTAACATCATCGATCATCCATATTTATAGATCTTCAATAGGCGTTGTTTATGATACGTATAAATATCAATTACAATGTATTTTGTAATTAGTATACTTGTGTTGAGGTCAAACGATTTCTTTAAATGTGAGGTATAGTAATTTAATCGCTCATTAAAGGGACAGATCAGGGTTCCCTAATCGCACAATGATTTGATTGATTTCCATATCGCTTACTTATTTAAAGGAACGCAAAAAGAGGGAATTCATACTTTGCCATTTATATATTTTATATATATTGTATGTACAGTGTACAATGTACTGAGTACTGATCAGTAAAATGGCCAGATAAGAGATGGTGCAGAATCAGCAGATTTCTGAACCCTATAAATACGGCACCATCGTTCAAGATGAACCAGTAGTCAATACTGAAATTTTCTAGATGGATCCTGTAACTATTGTGTTAATATTTGGCGCGCTTGCGGCGTTGTATAAGACTTCATTGCCTTATCCAAAGTGCCAGATTAATGTGTCGTCGAGTGCCCCCCTTCTTGTGACAAACATCGGTTCCCAAATTATTCTATCTGATTATTACGGTTTAATTGAACGAAACAAAAGCGAAGAAATTCAATTTTATTGCGGCACTGGATTTACATTCAAAAATGACGGGTTTGTTATTGTTTTATTATCACATTATATTAGAAATAGACTTTTTCAATTTAGAAACCCAAAGAAACCATTAAAAAATGTTTAAAAACATGTTATCGCATAGTAAATTTGGGTTCCATTGCAGTTGTGTGCAATTATAATTATTATTATTATTTCTATGATTTTAGCATAAGTCAGCTTATTTCTGACAACAGAATGGAAACGCTCATTTGCCAGCCAGATGGCAGTTTTCTTCTGCAAAATCATGGAATAAAAATCAAGGGAGATGCAAGGAGTGTTGAGTGTCAGAACGGAGTGGCTGCCATGTTCGAGAGTCGGATCGGTTTACCCAATTGTAAGGATCACACTACCCTTCTGTTGGGCAACGACTTTCAGGACATGGGTTCCATTAAGAGTGCCGCCTTGTGCTACGATATCGCCGGAACCAATCTGAAGTACTTAACCTATATAACGCATCCCACACGCAGCAGAGTGGTTAAAAAGGTATGGAAACTAAATTATGGAAATATACCAACTATAAATGAAAAGTATTTATTTCATGGAAAGTCCATTCAAAATTACAATCCTGACTTGATATTTCGATTTCATTTTGATTCTACAGACGCACTTGGGAGATCTGAATAAACTTGGTTTCGATTTAAGTGTGGACGGTAGTGATCGGTTCTTTAAGAAGGCCAGGTGAGTTTAGCGTATAATATTGAAGAGTTTTATACCAACTTTAAATATATTTAATATATATATTTAACCTTGAATACGGTTATCTTTTCCCACCTTCAGCCAGGCGGATGTGGACGCATTCTGGAACAAGGACAAGGTTCTGTCGCAGATGTTCGGCACCGGGCCCTTTGACTACGCCAGCTTGGTGCAGGACGAGGCTCTGGGCGCCCAGTTGGCCGGCTACGAGGGCATGATGAGCGTCGTCTGGCTGCACAGCCTGCGCACCGGGAACTGGAGGCACTGGCTGGCGGCCCTGCGATCGGCCAGTGTGTCCGGGAAACAATTCGAAGTCCGCCTCGGTGTCTCCGGTGTTCTTGAGATGCCCGAAAGTCGGGATGGCTGCGACCTGGCCATTGATCTGGCGGATGGCAACTCACTGCCCGTGCCCGTCCACATTTGGGCCCATGTGCGCGATCTGCAGCCGACTGGAGCAGCCCAGGATGAGTTCGTCCTTGTGGGACACAACTCGCCCTTCGTAAGTACATCAAACGTGTTTTCTTAATTTTATAAATTTAATTTATAAATTTATTTATTTAATCCCTTTTTGCAGTTGCGTGGCGATCCTTCTGCCGAATTTTGCCCATCGGTGTGCGACGAGGTGTCCTGGCTGAAGGGCACCCTGTTCGCCAGTCTCCACCGTTATCCCATCAACGGCCTGATGCTGTGCTGCCGAGTGGAGGATGTGGCCCAGACGCTGGATTCCTTTTACGGATCGACGGCCCATGCAGCAGCCACCACCGAAAACTTAAAAGTGGCCGAAGACTTAGTTTTATATGAACTAATTCAAAAATAAATTTGTAATTAATGAATATTCATTTGGAAAAATAAAATGAAACATGCACAATAATTTGCTGAAGAATCATTAATCGTATAAATGCTAAATGCAGAGAGAAAATGTAGTTGTTATTGTTGCGATGCTTATTTTTTTTTTGTTAGCACTCTAAAGTCTCTATAAACTTTTGGACAGGAAAATAATACAAATACAAAATTAGTAAGTTGCCATTTTTCCCAATTGTGCGGCTATTCTTCAAGACCCGTTAAAATACAATTTTTAATTCATTTGTGGCAAACCATACATATATAGGAGAGAGAATGAGATTATATTTCTTGGACCGTCCCAATGTACATACATTTAGACCGCAATCATACGAGAAACTTGCCTGAATCAACAGTTTTACATATACATACATATGTGTGTAATCTCGTGCAAATTAAATTGAGTATTAATGCCCCTATCGGCACTTTGATCTTACGGCAGGAATAATCTGTTGGAAATGTTGAAAAAGGGGAATCCCAAGATATGTCAGAAAAATTAAATAAGAAAGCGGTCTACGCCATCTAGACATAAGGAACTAAATTGATTGGGTGACTATATTATTTGAAATCTTAGAAACTTATAATGTTTTCTTAAAAACATAAGTTACTAAGTTCCTTAATAAATAGTTAAATAGTTTAATAGAAATGAAGTAAAAAATTGGGAAATGTTAAATTCAGATAATGTTAATGTATTTATTCTGTATTTCTTTTTTGAAATGATTGATCAATACAATGTCTATTAATAACCTTCACTCAGACAATTATTTGCCTTGAATTTAAGACATTTTGAGTCAATGGTGATTTGTATTTAATTTTAAGAACACATTTTATTCATTTAGTAAGTTTACTTTAGTTGTAAAAATTTTTTTAGGAGTAGATATATTTTCCAATGTCTTTAAAAATGCCATATTTTTTTCTAAAATTCAGAGCGAATACTTTTGTGAGTGTCGGGTTATCATTTCGAGAGCTCTACTCGGCGGAGATCTGTTTACAACAGCAAGTCTAAAAATGCGATAAGCCTTTTGCAGCGTCGGCAAAAGCTGCCTATAAAAAGGCTCCCCATCGAGGTTCCCATATCAGTTGAATTTTAAAGTCGTCGCGATGTGGCCGATCTACACTGTGTTCCTGGGCCTCTCAGTTCTCTTTATACTGCCCCAGGATGTAATAGGAACTTGTTCAATAAGTACAGAACCCAACGCTCCGATCGTTGTTACGCGATTCGGGTCCAAATTAATATTGTCCGATTCTGGTGGATCGTATACACGGGAAGAGGGCGAAACTATTGAATTGTTCTGCGGCAGTGGATTTTCGCGACGAAGCAGGTATTTACATTTATTACTAATCTTATCGGCGTTCTTTGGTTAAAATTAGAAACCCAATAATAATATATTCAATTACAAATTTTTATCAAACAAATGCAAAATGAAATTATCAAAAATATTTAGGTACACTGAGAAAAGTACTCAAGTATTCTGCATTGAAAAAATTGTACTCATAAAATAACTATGTACAAAAATTCTTATCTTGTCCAAACTGCACTAATTTCAAGAGAAATAATGTAGCTTGTATTTTTGATACGAGTATTCAAATACTTAATTTGAGAATGTTAGAATTTTCTTCGTGTAATTATATTTATATATTTATTTGGTTTTAGGAACCACTACGGCTCGCAAATGAACTTAATTTCCGGTGTTAAGCTTACAATGTACTGCGGTTCCAATGGTTATTTTCAAGATGAAAGGACTGGCGAAGCCATCATGAACATAAAGTGTCAGAAAGGCGTGTTGCAGATGTTCGAGAGTAGGACGAGTTTACAAAACTGTAAGACTGATATGACACTCGTTTTGGGTCAAGAATTCAATGAGACAGGTTCAATAAAAAGTGCGGCCTTGTGCTATGATATTGTAGCCTCCCAGTTGAAGTACATCGGCTACACTACATTTCCAACAAAGAACCGAATACTGGCCAAGGTGGGTTTTGCTAACTCCTTCTAACAGTGATCTTTGCATAAAAGTACATATCGGATTTCCTATAATGATAAAAAACGTCGTAATTCAATAGATTTAATATTAAATTGAAATATCTTTTGCTATGTTTTTTATTCATTTCTTTTTAGTTTTTTTAAATATGAAAATATTTAATTAAACTATACTAGTATATTTAAAAATTGTAAACTTTAATTTTAAAGTGAAATTATTTTTTTAAAGACGTTAAATATGTGCAGTAAATATTGTTTTTCTACCTTTTACTCAAATATTTTAAAACTAATTCAAGCAATTTAATAACTTTTGTATTAAATATTACGTGTTTTATTTAATTTAATTTATTATTACGAATTTATGAATTCAATATCCAGAAACGTATTCATTTTCTGTTTATAGACCCAATTGGGCCAGCTGAATGACATCGGATTCGACATTAATGCTAGCTACCAAAAAGATCTCATAAAAGCCGTTAGGTAAGTTCCTTACGGAGAACCCATGGAAAAGCTACTTAAAAAATTATGTATTTTCGAGCAGCCAGGCGGAGATCGACGCCTACATGACGAAGGATAAGCAGCTGACGCAGTTGTTCGTGGGTGAAACCTTCCAGACGGCCAGTCTGGTTCAGGACGAGGCTATTGGAAGGCAGTTGGCCGGCTACGAGGACATGATGTCCACCATCTGGATGCGAACGCTGCGCTCGGGCAACTGGAAGAACTGGGTTGCGGCGATGCGCGATGCCACCGCATCCGGTGCCCATTTCGACGTCCGGCTGGGCGTCTCCGGAGTTCTGGAGCTGCCGATGGCCGTGGGACGACCCTGCAACGCCAGCCGCTCGCTGAGGATCGAACTGGCCGACGACAGCTCCTACCCGATTCCCGCCCACATTTGGGCCCATGTCCACGCCCTGGAGAAGACGGGCGGCGTCCAGGACGAGTTCGTCATCATTGGCCACAACTCGCCCTTTGTAAGTAGATCTGAGTACTCCCCTTATACATTTTAATCGGGACGGTGATCTCTGCAGTTCCGCGGCGACAACTTGAGCGACTTTTGCCCCTCGATGTGCGACCAGGTGTCCTGGCTGAGGAACAGCCTGTTCGCCGGCCTCCACGAGTTCCCCGCCTACGGACTGGTGCAGTGCTGCCGGGTCGAGGATGTGGCCAGCAAGCTGGACAACTTCCCGGGTGCCTTTGCGAAGGCAAGTGCGACTGCCACCGGGAACACCGCGAAGGTGAAGCTCCTGGACTTGTTCATTCCTTCCAGCGGTCCTTCCATCGATCCTTCCAGCGAGCCTTCTAGCGATCCTTCCATCGATCCTTCCAGCGATCCTTCCAGCGATCCTGATTATAAAATATATGATTAGCTTTATAAAAAAGTTCCAACAAAACATTTGCTGAAACAATTTCGCACTTGAAACAGCGTAATTTCCTTTTGACTATAAACATTTTTATACTCAAGAGTAAATACCGCTGTTTTTTTTAATAAATAGCTTACAGCGAAATTCCAGGTTTTGCATTCCAAATAGTTAGGTGCAAAAACCGACATTCGAAACATAATATGTGTTTACTTAGTCCCTTGTTTAACTGCAATCCCTTACTATATACGTGGTTTCAAAAATAAAGTGGATTATTGTGCACATTTTAAAACTTTTTTTTTGCTTTGGGATTGGTACCTCTGGGCTAGAACTCAATGATCTATTGACAAGACTTGCCTTAAAATATCCGTAACAAAAGAGTTCGTCCTGTGGGATCGACCTCCTTTCGCTGTCGCCACAGTCGACAGGTCAAATGAGCTTTGGCTTATCCCGTTCTGTGACCGCGTTTATTGCGAATTCCTGCCGGTGGTAGCCCCCGCCCTCCCCGAAAAGGGCAGGGGGCACGAGGTCAGTAGCGAGTACAACTAGAAGCCACCAGGGGGCGGAATGTCAAGTCACTTTCATTATCAACAAAACAAAAGAAGGATGGTCGAAGGAAGAAATCCAGCACCGAATCTGGAATACACTTCACAAACTCCATTTATCTGTGATTTAACAAATATTTTTATTTTTTATTGTAATTATATTATCACAAAATCAGGGAACCGAATAAAATCACAAATTTCCGATAATTTAATGAATATTATTCCTGCCTTAATTTCGTGCGAATTTATCGAGCCATAATCAAAGCCCTAATAAATGTGGAATTTCGGTTTTAATTATATGTATTTACAGACGAAATTAAAGTAATTAAATATTTTGCATAAATAATAAAAAATCGAATGAAAAACTCGAAAGTGGTGGCCCCTTGACTTCGCAAATACCCTTTTTGGCCCACAAACAAAGGCCACAAAGGCCATTAACGCTGGGCGGTGGGTGGTTTTTTTTTTTGTTTTTTTTGGGGTGGCAGAAAGCAAAGTCAAAGGCAAAAGGAATTTCTTGATTAAGTAATAGGAATGTTGGGTCCGTACAATGCGGAGCACACCAGAAATGTCAGCGGCCATGAGTGCCGTTATATCTCGACGCTGACATTCCACCAATTCTCCCAATGGGTGTGAGCTTCGGTGCGAGGATAAGCTTATCCTGGCAAAAAGTAATGGCGAAAGTCCTGCGAAGGACCAGCGACCATTCGACGGGCGAGTCAATAAAGCATACTGATTAATGTCAATTTGTACTTGGATATTTTGCATAAATTATGCATAAAACAAAGCGGCAAACAGCAAAAAAAGAGTGCTCACAATACGCAATTGGTCCCCAAAGTCCCATCCCGCTGCCACGCCCCCTAGCCTCCTGCGCCCCCAAATCATTGGGCGGCTCAGGGGCATTTAAGCCTACTTCAGCCGCCAAGTCCCAGCACACACAATAAATACTCACCAATTACCAGCAAAAATCACAGAATAGACAAATAAACAATCTTGAAAAATAGGATCTGTAAAAATTAATCTTATAAGTAATTTTATGGCATTATATTTCTAGTATTAAATGCCTTTTTGAATGAGTTTATAAAAGGGAAAGTTTTGTTAATATTTGATTAATGTAGAAAAAAAAGTATGACATTTTATAATAAATACAAAATACATTTTAAACTTGCTGTGCTAGGATAATAATAATAATAAAATAAAAATAAAAAAATAAATATCGACAGTTTGCTATTTCCCTTGAAAACATCTATATTGTGAAATAATCGACAAATATCAATAATTTAATTCGGTAATAAATTAATAAAAAAAATCAAATCCCTTACATACTGGGCATTTTAAAGTCGAACCTCTCGCAATACCTGATTTTATGTTCTCCTTAATGCCAAAAATGCGGAAAAGCCTTCATAAAAGGGAATGAAATTACCACAGGCTCCGCCGTTCCTCGTGCAACAACAGTGACAACAACAGCAACAATCAGCCACCACCGAAAATGAAAAATAAAATAAATGAAAGGACAAAAAGTGAATCTGTGTACAAATTTAATTTGCCCTTTTTTTGTTTCGCCTTTGCTCCCTTTATGCTCCCCACAAAAGCTGAACGAAAATGTCACATAATCAAATTTTTAAACGCAAGCGATTTAAGAGTTGTGGCCGCTTACAGGGAAATTCCGTGAGGTGGAATTTCGGGAGGTGTATGGGTATGCTGGGTATGACGGCGAACAAGAAAAAAAGTGTGTGTGAGGAGTGGAGTGAAGTGGCGTTTCTGGGACTCCTTGCGATGACATATGAAATATTAACAAGAGCACCGCTCGCTCGAGAAATTTCCAATGCAAGGCAAAAGCTGCGTGGGGGAAAAAGTGGCAAAATCTGGCTAAAAAATAGGGAACGAGTGCCGGGGGGTAGGGACTGCGGGGGGCGGGGTGTGGGAAGATCAAGCAAGTCGCACAATTCGCCATCAAGCGTGAAAACAAATTTACTTTAACGATTCTCCGGCAGAGACGGGGTGAATTAGGCAGCCCCACGGGTATGCTGATATTTGCATACCTTAAATAAAATTAAACAAGTATTTATTTAGCTTTTTGTACTCTACCAATTTTTGTATAAATATTTTAAAAATTTATTGATTACCGTTTCAAATTTTGTCAACATTACAATGGTTAAATAAATGATTAAACTAGTTTTTACTATTCCTAAAAATAGTCAAGAACCTTATGGTTTAATAAAGGGTATAGGGAGAAGATAAAGAAGCCGCGCTGTCGTCTACACGTCTGTCTATTTGTCTGTTTGTATATAAATTAGAACACATCAAAAGTTTGTGACATTAAATTTGGCAACCCTCCTCCGTTGCCCGAATTCCCAGAAACTCGTTCACACACGCCAGCGATTGGGCCGCAGATAAATGTTTTAGCAGAATGAGTCTGCGGTTGGCAACGAGAATGGGAACGGGAATGGAAATGCCGATGCCGATGACAGTAATGATGCTACGCGGGCGCGAGAATCCGGGTCTAAGCCTCAACCTCAGACCCAAAAAAAAAAAATAACATCCACCTTAACCGTAACCCCAACATTTACAGTTGAACTTGTGAAACTCGAATTTGCTTTGGTGAAACTATAAGGAACTCAACTACAATTCATTTTATGTATAGTATATGATTTAAAAGTGAGCTATCAAGTTAAGTGGCACTCTATAGGAACAAATATATTTTCTTATACTAAAATAATATGTTTAACTGATAAATAAAACATCCAACGTAAGGTTTCATTACTTATTTTTAACTAATGACGATTATCGGTTATTTTATATAAAATATTTCGACATCCAATAATTTGTTTGGCTTTAATAAATTTAGAAATATATTAAAGCTTGCTATAATTTTAGGATCTTAGTGTTAGATGAATAGATGCCCTAGTAATCACTTGTTCTTCTTTTAGAAGCTTCACTGTATCTTACAGGTTGTGCCACTAACCAGAACAAGGCGGTCACGATGAAGGTTGGGTTGATTAAATGTTCTGCTCCTGCCGCTGCGATTGTATGTGTGCGGGTGTGTAGTGTGTGTGCGAGCGTGAAAATGCAATGACAACAACCCGAAAAAGGCGATTACGCACACAGACACACACGCACACAAGATTTTTCGGGGGCGATGCCTTCACGTACGCCATTACGTTAGGTTACGTTACGCATACGCCGCGTACGCCGCGACCACTTGACTTTTCGCAGTCCCCAGAATCGGGAATCTGCCGCTGACTTCACTTGGCTTCAACGAACCACTCTGCCCGAGTGACACTGTCCCCAAAAAGCCCATAAAATAAAAACAAAAAATATTATAAATATGAATACAGCCTCGGATATTTTAAATGCATTTAATGCATTTATTTTTAATGAAATTATGTTATGTTCAGAAGGAATAAAATATTATTAAACCGTTTCTTGAATTTTTTTTAAATAAAAACATTTTTAAATTTAAATATAATTATTGGCTTTACAAAGAATATATTTAATTTTAATTTACAGTCCACTCGAAGGCATTTCATTGTAATCCAGTGTCGTGAAAGTGTAAGCCTGAATTCCATTTCCCCACCTCCTTCGATTTTCATTCTTATCGTTCATTCTGTCTGACTTTTTCCTCCCTTCCTTTTACTTCTTATTTTTGCTAGCTTTTCCGGTGGAAAAGAATGGGGCTGTATGGAATGTACATATGTAAGAAGTCTGTCATCTGCTCGAAGGCTTCCACGTCTGATGAAATAATGCTAATGGAATGGAAGCTGTTATATTTTGTCTCCAAAAATAATCCATGCAAAAAATGGACTTTACGAGTGCCGCAAAAAGGAAAAAGTGCAATTTACCAGAATACAATTTATAATGTTTAAAGCCAATATGCTTGATTTTAAATATATATTTTTTGCTGTGTGGTGTGCTACTCTTTACGCATCTTCTCAAACCCCTTCTTTTTTTATAATGTAGTTTGTCTCATTCCCTTCACTTTTTTTTGTTCACCGCCCCCAAAAGTTTCGTTGTGTGCGTGTACGCCCGGCGCCAATGAATATTAAAATATTTGTTGTTTCGTTAAAAACTTTTAATTGGATTGCAGCGTTTTTAATACTCTCATGACTTTCCATCACCATCAGCACGTCGTGCCCTTCGATGCCCTTACCCCTTTTCACGTTGGTCACACGAAAACTGTGCACAAAACTGAAAAATCAATTAAAATGGCCGGTCGTCAGTCGACGCGTTGAAGGATCAAATCTGCAATGAGGACAATAAAAGGCGAGAGTCCGTCACTGGACGGGTTAAGCCCTCGAATAATGTCAAACACTCGGGGATTTCCGTGGTGCCAGAAATTAAACCAATTTAAGGGAAACTCGACTTGAATATGATATATGATGTGAGTTACTTTCGAGTAGTATTTTCGTAAGATTTTAATTAATTGATTTCCAGTTCCCCTACAATTACAAAATACATCATTATTTTTTCTGGTATGGTGGTCAGTTTTTATTAGATAAATTATACATTTTACTTTTTTTTTGGTTTCGCTTTCGATTCGTTTTTGTTTTTTATAAATATTTCATCTACATAGTTTATATATTCATGTGTATATATATTTCATCTATAGCCATAGAACAATTATCACATCTTACATATGTATGTTGGCTACACTTAAACGTATCCATTACATGTTTACTCAAATGTATGTTTGTGTGTGTGTTGGTGTGAGGGTGCCTTTCAGATAAGAAAAATATGAAACTGAGAGAAAAGCGTGAAGGAGTGATACAGATATGGAGGGGAAGTGCGAAAAACACATGGGTGCATGTGGAAAAGCTCCTGGCTGCTGGTAGCCCATCGACCATGTCCCATGATATCCCCCCCCTTCCCGTATATCCCACCCACTTGCCACATTTCCAATAAGATCCCATACCAATATTGTTTTCTTTTCCTCGTTTTTTTTTTCCAGATTTTTGTCCGTTTCTCTTCGGGCTTCTTGGTAATTAGACTTGGCAACGTCGGGTTGCATCAAAAGTTTGCTCATTTATATTGTATAAACAGTTGCCCCCTCTTCGCATTCTTGGCCTTCTTGGTTCCGGCCACTTCGTCCATTTAAGACCGTTCTGTTCCGTTCCGTTCCATTCAGTCAGTTGGCCATTTAATTTTTCAGCTGGCGCTGAGAAGTATGCTACAATTTCGTCGTCAGCCAAGTTCAGTGCGAGTGTGTGTGCGTGTGCAGGCGAGTGTGTGTGTAAGCTGCTTTGTGTTAAACGTTTTAGCCTGGCGGCGCTGTCAGTCGGCAAATTTCAAAGGCTGGCCAAGACAACAAGGGCAAAGGGCACAAAAACACGAGGGCACAAACAAAAGCAGGCCAAAAGCCAAGAGCCAAGGCGAAAGGAAAGTGAAAGTAAAAGTAAAAGGGGAAAAAAACATGGGCGGGATTGGTAAATGCATTAGTTATTTAAAGAGTGAAAACATTTGTTTTGGCCTGTTGCCCCTACGTTGCCTTCACTTTGGCCAATACACAAACACACACTTTCACATTAACACGCAGAAAAAAGACGATGATAATGCTAATGGCGATGCAGATGAAGAGGCAAATACAAAGCGACTACAGTCGAACTTCCCTAAAGCATAAGTTTGGCCACTCAGATCAAAGCTTATAAAATGTAAATGAATTTTTAAGAAATTTACTAATGAATCTGTAATTTTTTTATCCCTTTCGTATTACTCGTATAGTGTAAATATATTAAAGGAGCTTAAATTTATGGTAACTAAACAAATAAACATAAAATAACTTTTTTTAATATTTAAATTTAAATACAATATTTTCTAATTCAGTTTTTTTGCAAAATATTTAAATTTGAATAACAAATCTTCAATTTTAGCTTAATAATACAAATTCAGTTTTTTTTTCAAAATATTTTGAGTTTAAATAAAATATTTCATAATTCTATTACTTTCTATTATATTTAAATTTTAAAAAAATCTCAGAAAAATTCCATATAACAAAAAGAGTTCGGGCTATGGAAGTACGACTGTTGAAATCAAAATCCCCGTATAATCCATTTCGTTTGCAGGTGTGTGCGTGTGCCGTGTACTATGTGTGTGTGTTGTGCTTGTGCCTGTGTCATGCCACGCCCCCTTGCCAGGCCACGGCGATTACGCCCTCCGCCTAATGCCTAATGCATAATGCCTAATAGATGCACTCGCCGAGCAAATCGCACTCGCCCTTCTCCAGCGGCTTCAGCCACAGCGGATTGTAGTTGGGGCACAGTTTGCGGTGTATGGGTATGCGGATTTGCACGGGCGTCGCCGCCACGCCCTCCCAGCTGGCACGCCCCTCGAAGCGGCTGCCGTCCGACCTGTTGCACTGCATGCTCAGCGGCTCCTGCATGTACATGGTGTACAGCTGGTCGACGCGCGGCTGACTCCACTCGATGCTCCGGTAGTTGGACGACCTGGCTCCGTTCAGATGGACGCCGTGCTGGTGCTCCGTGCTGCGAAAATTAAAATAATAATATTTAATATGGAAGTATATAAAATTTTGAATTTTATTTAGTTTCAAAAAGTTCTCTTTCAATGATCGCTAGACAGAGTTCCTTTTCGATAAGTCCTAACGGTGCCTCGTCCTAGGTGCTATCGTACATTTATCGATAAACTAAACAAGAGTGACCCTGGTGTTGGGCTATTACAATAGGTATTTCACCATATAATAAATTTATAATATTAAATGGGGCCTTTTAAAAAATAAAGAATTTCCTTAGTGAACACTTAAGGTCTATTCCCTGCACAAGAAATATAATATAATAATGATTTGAGCTTAGCCAAGCGCTTGTGGAAAGGGCGAAAGTGTAACCGCAACAATAACTTGAGCTTCTGCCAGCAATTTCCCTTTCCTTTCCTTTTTGTTTTCCACCTTCCACCTGGCGGATACGGATACACAATGCTCCCTGCCAAGGCCGCATTCCAAGTTTCCCCATTTCCCCATTTTCCCATTGCGGTGGCCCTAATCTAATGCAAACTTTGCCATCAACCGATGCTCAACTGCTTAAACTTGGCAATTAGCGAACACCTTTTGGGGGCCAGACGCAGGAAATGGGTTGGGAAACTAGGGGATGGGGTGGGAAAATGGGGTGGGAAGTGAGGGAACAAAAAGCATTTCGCCGTTATGAATGCGCCAAGGAATCGGGCCTCGCAAAAGGAATGCCGAAAAGTTTCCCTTTGATGCACAAGGAGCCGAGCGGAAGAGCACCCTTAATGAAAGCCCATAATGCCCCTCGGAATCCCGAGCTATAGCCCCCCCTCGAAACCCCTAAATCCCCGCCCATTGTGACGTCGCCTGTCGTCGGTTTCGCTGCGTAGATTAAAAAATATTTCTTCCATTAACGCCGCAAACGCCCGCGGGACGGATGGATAGAATGCCATGAATGTGAATGTGAATGTGCATGGGCGTTATAATTGTTGAATAAAGACGGGGCAGAAAAAAAAAGGAATACGCAAAAGAACGAGCAAGTCAGGAATTCGCCTGAAGCGCTTTTCAAAATCAAAGGGCTTTCGGTGGTTTTTCTCAGACTCAGCGATCAACTCTAATCTAATCAATCTAAAGTGATTGTATTATCTTTAAGGTATCCCTCACCGCTTCATGTAGATAAAGTAGTTCTCGAGCGTCTCCTCGGAAACGGAGCTCTTGCAGACCTCCAGTTTGGTGGCCGGATAGTAGTGGATGTAGTTCACGCACATCTCGTCGCTGATGGAGAATCCCCCCAAAGCGGCGGTCTTGTCCTCCTTCGTGTTGTAGTAGCAAGTGGTCACCAAGGCGTCGCCCTAGGAACGAAAGAAATATATTATATATATGAAAGTCAGAAATAATGATAGTTTGCTTTTCAGAAAGGTTAAAGTTATATTATAGTTTGCTTATATTGTTCATGATGTTCAGGAGAAATCAGTTCCTAACTAAAACATGCACTGTAGTAAGAATATTTGGTAAAAATATAAATATAGGTTTTGTAGACATAATATATTTATTTTAATAGGTTTAGTATATAATATTTTCTTTAAAGTATAAAATAGGTTATTTTTTGGTTACTAATTTAAAAATGATCGATACTTTCGATATTTACACAATTTCGATACTATAATTTCGATGATTTTAAGGGAAAACTCCTTTAAAATTTTTAAGAAATACGAAACTGTCGATCTATTACTAAACCCCCTTAGAATTCAAGGATTTGGCTCACTCACCGGCAGGACGCGTGGCTTGTAGTGCAGGGTGCGCATCTCCTGGAAGTGGTTCGAGTAGAAATCGTCGCGGTTCACCTCCCGCAGTTCCTGTTCGCCGCGGAAGTGCCGGGTGAGGACGCGCACGCCGCGCAGGTGAGTGTGCAGCTGGGAGCCAAAGATGATGATGCCCGTCGCCGGGAGGGCGGCCCGCGTGCAGTCCGCCACGCAGTAGCCGCTCAGCGGGAAGGCGGTCTGGCCAGGAGGAATGGCCATCTTGTCGGTGTACTCCAGTCCCAGTTCCATGACGGCGGCATCGTACTGACGCAGCTTCTTCGACAGCTTGATGCGGAAGCCCGAGTTGTCCACCAGACCTGTGAAACAACGGGGCGGATGATTAATATTGATTGACACTAATGGCCTGGGTTCATTGCGTTTCTTAATAGCTCCCATTAACAACCTGCAACTGAGTAGGGATATTTAATTGAGCCCATTAATCTGCACTCTTAACAATTTTATAAAAATACTTTACTTTTAGCTGAAGGGATTACTTAATTATTTAGCACATTGCGTATACGTCTAGTTGGCTACCTTTTTGGCCGGGTTTGATAAATAAAAGTAATTTGGGGATTATCATTTTATTTTTATAGACTTTTTAGTCAAGTGTAAAATAAATGAAATTTTCCTTTTGGAATAAAAATCAAACTATTACTTTTAGTTACGTTTTTGTCGATTAAAAAATACAATTTATTTGGGGATTATCAATATATTTTTATAGACTTTTTAGTCAAGTGTAAAAAAAATGGAATTTTTCTAGTTCCTGAAAAATATATATATTTTTATTTTGATTGATAAACCCCGGTTATCATGCCATAGCCCAGACTAAGTGGCTTCCAATTGAGCTCCAATTAAAATAAATACATACAAAGAGTGTAATAAGCTTAAAGTTTGTGCAAAATCCCTTTACTGCGCCACGTGTGGCGATGCAGCTCATCACTTAACCAAATCGGGTTGGGGTAATCCTCTTTGGTCCACCCACTACCCTTCCCCATCACTCACCCGCCTGCTTCTCGGGATTATTAAAGTGAACCTCCAGCCGGACGTAGGGATTGAAGCCGGCTCCTCCGATGGGCAGGCCGGCCTCCGGGGGATAGGTGAAGGTGCCGGCGCCCATGGCCCACAGCACCATGACCTTGGAGCAGACCTTGGCCCGCGGCGGCATCTGCTCGCAGTCGCCGTTGTACAGGGGGATCTCTTCGTGCTCGGGGGCCTCGCAGTGGAAGACCTCCATGTGGTGGACGATACCCGGCGTCCGGATGAGCGGCTCGAACTGGACGATGTGGTGGCGCCGCCGCAGATCGCCCTCCAGTCGCTGGACGTGGCACCAGTAGGTGGTCTCCTGGCTGGGAATGGGCGCCTCCAGCAGCGTGATCTCCATATGGTCCAGTTCGCTGGGAATATCGATGATATTTATGCAAATTTATCTGTAGAAGTTCCTCCACTTACGTTTCGGGAATGAGTATCTTGTCGGCGCGGAGCAACTGCAGCATCTTGACGCCCGCCTCGTGCGGAGCCGTCACATTGGGCAGGGCGAACTGGTGATCCTCCAGAGCCAGCTCCGTTTCGCCACGGGCCCAGACCACGTACATGGTGCCCTCCTGGAAGGATCAAGGGTAAGTTATTTGGCAGAATCTCTACGCAACAGGTTCACCCACATGAAGTCGCAGATCCAAAGGATCGCAGGTGTCGAACTTGCGCCGGAAGGCCAGCGTAAACTCGTCCATCTTGAAGACCTCGCAGTCCTGCTGATAGTCCCGCCTCACCCACCGTCCATCCGGACTGGTGTACGTGTCGGTCACCGCGTTGAAGAAGCCGTTCTGGTTCTCGAAGAAGCAAATATCCGCATCCGCCAGGCCGCCGCGCTTCGAGAAGCCCAGATAGAACCAGCGGTGCTGCTCGTTGAACGCGTTCTGCAGGTGGAACAGCACCTCCTGCTTGTACCAGTCGACCATCCAGCTGAGCTTGATCTCCTTGTCGTCCAGATAGATCTCGTGCAGCTTCGTGTCCGACAGTCCTGGGCAAGATGGTCAGGGAAATGGTACAAAATTAAACGATTTCTTAATTGGGATTCATATGAATGGGAAGATAGATATATTATATTATACATTAGTTACATTTTTTGTAAAAAATTTTAACCCTACTGATATTTTTTTGCAAAAAAAAACACGGTTATGATTTTTGGCAAAAATTTGGATTATATCTGCGTGTTTTTCTTCGTAGCTTGGCCAAAAACGGTCCCAAAGTGGAAAGAATAACTGATTTGAACAACTGAGGTCCTTAGCTAACTTTCCTCATAATTTTCTGGCTGATTTTCGAAAATAAATGGTTTGGCTAATTTTTGCGTTTTTTTATAAGGGGTAAGGTAACAATTTTTTACAAAAAATTTAAAAAAGTTAAAATTTGCATATTTAAATGCCAATCGATAGGGAATTTAATTACGAGTTCAGAAAGGCATGGCATTATATACTGGGATTATTATTTGTATTGTTTTGATTATTTTTGGGTTAAAAATGAGTGTTTTATAATTTATAATTTTGAAGTTTTGAAAATGACACTTTTTACCTAATAAAGTATATATATTCTCAATTTCTTACAATTTCTTCGCTATAAAGCTTAGTTTCCTTTTATTATTTTCAGTAAAATGAGTATAATTTAGATTCAGGTTGCTGTAACTCCAGGGTTTCCGCCAGATTAATGGGTTGGGTCTTCGGTTGGTTAGAGCAAACGCCCCGTGGAAATGTGCTAGTTCAATTTATTAATTAGGGCAGCTCAGATTGAACGTGGCTCCTTGCGTTTGAATGCGATTGGATGGCCCAGCTGCAGGGCCAATTTCCCGCGGGACCCGATGGCTGTCAGTGTTATCCGACCTGTTACTCAGTGTCCTGGATGTCCTGGGTGTCCTATCCTCCTGGACAGTCCACGTCCGCCGACAAGCCGAGTTATTGCTGGCCATTAAGCCGGCTCGTCTGCTTTGGTTACCAATCTCGAATCTCGAATCCCGGCAACTGAGCACTGAGCATCCGTGGAGATGGCGCGATAATCAAGTTGCCTCGCACTAATTACCCAAATAAAAGCAGGCCACGCGACTTCAATTCATCCACTCGCCGGTCCATAAGCCCTCATAACCCTCAGGAACTTGTGTTGTTTCGGGGGAATAAAGGGAGTACAGGGAGTACTGGGAATAAAGGCACTTGGCAACCGAGGGGACAGCGTGGATTTATGTTGGCAGCGACTTGGTCGAAACGGCAGCACATCAGGCACATCAATTACGGCAACAATATCAACAACAACAGCGGCAATCGTGGATCCAGTGGAGCGGCAGTAACGAGAGCGAAGGAAAACCCAATAAAATGTCAAATCCAATTGGCAAACACACGCCGAGATCGAGGACGACAAGGATGAGGATGAGGAGGAGGCGGAGGAGGAGGCGGAGGACCATGGCCAGGACTCTGTATGTGGATGTGGCTTTGCAGCGCAGTTCGTGAAGTATATCAAACTGTTTGTCAGTGCGCAAACACTGGGAAAAACATTTGAAATAAATAGTACATTTATTTCCACAAATAAATATAAAATAATAAATCTATTAAATTATTGCTTTTTTGAAGATTCAAGAAAATATTTCAACCAAAATGATTAAAAGAAATCAAAAATTATAATAATAGGTCCAACAAATTAATTATGTTTTTAGACACAAATTTTTTGTTTTTACCAAAATGATTAAAAGAAAAAAATATAAAATAATTAGGTATTTCATTTGGCTCATAAATAAACATAATTAAATACCCTCCTTGGGTACTAATTATATTAAATTTAGCTAAATGAACTTTAAATTTTTTCCAGTGCAGCTAGATGAAGACACAGAAGGCAGAGCAACAGTGAGAGCGAGAGAGCGACAATAAAAACACTCGATTACAATCAAAAGTGACAGGGGTCCGTGGTTTTTTTTACACGGCTCGGGGGATGGCAGAAGGGGCTTTGACATGGGTGCGGGTGGAAGGGTGAAAGGGGGGGAAAGGGGGGTCCCTGGGATTTCGGGCAATGGTGCGTTGATGAATTTCGCTTTCCGCTCGCTCGCTGTCCGTAGCAGAGCAGTTCAATCAAGTTCGGCGGAAGTAATATGCCCCAAAAACGAGTTTGAGCTTCACGAGCTTCACTTGCGGCACCACCCACCTACAAACAACCGCCCACCGCCCCATTACCTACCAATTTTCCACCCACTTTCCCAGACCCTTGTGTGTGTTTGCCACTAAAATTGATTTGTTACTGTACATATGTCTCACTTCACTTTTACAAGCGGCCCACATCGACCCAACCGCAAGGACCCCCAACGAACCGGAACTGGAAAACCGTAACCCAAAGGCCCCCCTCCTTCTCCGCCGAAAGTTTGGTAATACGAAACAAATCGGTTTTGCCCTTCCGCTCCCACCATTTTGGTCATTTCGCAATTGTTTCGGTGGAATGGAGTTCAAACGAAACGAGTTCAACTCATAATTGGCTGGCTGATCGTTAATTACCCGCCATGTGTGTTTATTTTTGAATTTATTTGGAATTTAGGGCACAAAATAAATTTAAATTTTCTACACCCTTTTTGAGGAATATTTTACTTAAAAAAATTTTTTTTTTCTATTTTACAACCCAATTTTCTTGGAATTCCAATTGAGTTATCCCTAAACCTTCCGCCCCTTTAATAGTCGTATTATACGGGTAAGTATAACCATATCCACCTAAGTAATTCAATTTGTATCGCTTTTTTTTTGTAGGTTGAAATGGGTTCGTGGCTCATAGCTGCGAGTTCATTGTAGATTCAGTTGGTGGAACTGACCCAGTTGATTTGATTTGATTTGGCATTGATTGGGCCGCCGCTCCCCATCGCATCTTCGGAATTTACACTTTTCCCTTGGTCTTTTGGCCATTTGATTCCCGCCAAACAATTGACAGTCCACACATAGAGTATGAGTGTGATAAAATTTAATAAACTCGAAGTTTATTGCATTTGCTCGACTGCACCTCGGTCGTGTTCTCGGCTCTTATCCAATCGAAAACTTTTCCGATTTTTCCGACCCGCTTGAACTTGAAATGCCACTTTGACGCTCCTCCGCTCCTCCTGCGAATGGATGATGTTCTTTGTTTTTGTTTCCGATGGAGGAACTACTATGGCAGATCCTTTGGGGATGCGCCGCATAGTTTTGTGTCTCCGGACTGATGACGGGAATGATGAGGATGTTGGCGCGGAAATGCCAAAGCGCACAGGAATTTTCTTATTATTTACTGGATGCGAACGAGCGGCACTCGAAGGCATGTCCAATTTCTCTCCACCCCCATTACTTTGAATCTGGCAAGTCCCCATCGAACATACCAAAGTGCTTGTCAAAACTACACTGGGGAAAAAGGTTTTCGGGTCTGATAAATATTATTATTATTGTAAAACCACTCTATCTGCATGGAAAATATTCATTAAATATTGAAATTATTCAAAATATATTAAAGTGGGAAAACAAAATTTGGCACAGTGTTAAATTTTTAATTTTAAAAATAGTTTTCGTTTCTTTTTAAGATTGTAGTGATGTATAATCTATAATCATAATCTATTCCTGAGATTACATGGCTTTATCGCTAGAAAGCTCTATAAGAAAATCCGGAAACTATTTTTTTGGGCAGTGTAATTTTTGCATTTGGACCATTGGCTGCCACAGGCGCTTTGGGATGATGTCATTATAATAATGTTATATGCACAAATCGTCAATTGGTTTGGCCCGGGGACGATTTAGCTTGGCTTTAGTCGTCCGTCGTTTTAGCCAACCCCTCCCCCTCTCCTGCCCCCTCTCATTTGTCGCATTGCCAGCATTTCCCTTTCCCATTCGCATTCCGATTCCCATTCGTTCATTCAAATTGCCGCTCAAGTGACGCAAAAGCATCTGGGGAATGAAATGTTCGTGCTTTCTCCGGACTTTCCCCTTTCTCCGTTCTCCATTCTCCGCCTCTTTTTGGCTGGCCCACTTAACACTTTATTGGATTCCTTTTGTGCATGCCCGTTGGTTGTTGTTCTTGTTCGCCAGTCCCGTTACTCTTATCACCTATCATTATCCGCGCTCTCATCTGTCCAGTTCGATTGCCATGTCCAGGACATTGGCTCATAATATAAATTGACTGCGTCCTTGGGTCCTTTTGGGTTGTCCGTTTGAGTTATGAAATGGTTCGACATGAGCACTTGACAATATCCATTATCCATGTTGGTATTTCAAATCATAACCATAAACAAAACGTTTAAATACATCTGGAAAAGGGTTAGTTCTACTGAACTTCCCCCTATTTATTTTAACGAACTCCTCAAAAGTCTTGTCTACTTATCTGCGATGAACCACTGTGATATTGTCGCGCCTCCTCTTTGATTGAGACAAATATTTGAACAAATTTCGCTTTCGCCTAGACAACACCCACACACATTCCCTCCCCCTACATCCACACCCGTCCCGCCCTTTCCAAAAACCTCGGAAATGCGGTCGGGGCTCTATATAAATTATTGCGGATTTATTGGGTGCACTGCTTACTCGCTCACACTTACACAATATTGGCATTTTGATAGACATCCTATCGCACCCACGAAACACACACACTCAAACGCCTAGAGATGGGAGATGTCTAGGCAGGTGTACCTGTACCTTTAAGTAAAGTATGTAGGTACTCTAGGTATTCTTGATATTATATAATATATTTTATACTGATTTCCCATCCCAGCAATCACGAAACCATTAAAACATTTTAAAAATCAAAAGGAAATAATATGAAGTAAAAATATTAAAAAATAAATAATAAAACCTTGTATTTAAAAGATAATAATACCACTGATAATAGATTTTTAATTTTATTAAATATTTTTCATTACCTTAAAGAGAAAAGAAAATAGTACCGCTCCCTTCACTAAATCACAACCAATTCGCACATTGTCTAGAACAAACGAGCGCACGTTTAGTTTATCATAAAGCTTATTTATGGCAACCACTTTGCGCCACCTTT